GAGCATCAGGGGGGGGGCGCTCCGCGCACGCGGCGTTGCGCTGATGGGGCGGGCGGGCGGGTGGGCGGTCAGTGTGTGTGTGTGTGAGTGTGTGTGTGAGTGTGTGAGTGTGTGAATGTGTGAATGTGTGAATGTGTGAATGTGTGAATGTGTGAATGTGTGAATGTGTGAATGTGTGAATGTGTGAATGTGTGAATGTGTGAATGTGTGAATGTGTGAATGCGTGAATGTGTGAATGTGTGAATGTGTGAATGTGTGAATGTGTGAATGTGTGAATGTGTGAATGTGTGAATGTGTGAATGCGTGAATGCGTGAATGGGTGAATGTGTGAATGTGTGAATGTGTGAATGTGTGAATGTGTGAATGTGTGAATGTGTGAATGTGTGAATGTGTGAATGTGTGAATGTGTGAATGTGTGAATGTGTGAATGTGTGAATGTGTGAATGTGTGAATGTGTGAATGTGTGAATGTGTGAATGTGTGAACGTGTGAACGTGTGAACGTGTGAATGTGTGAATGTGTGAATGTGTGAATGTGTGAATGTGTGAATGTGTGAATGTGTGAATGTGTGTGTGTGTGAATGTGTGTGTGTGTGTGAATGTGTGTGTGTGCGTGTGTGCGTGTGTGCGTGTCTGCGTGTGTGCGTGTGTGCGTGTGTGCGTATGTGCGTGTGTGCGTGTGTGCGTGTGTGCGTGTGTGCGTGTGTGCGTGTGTGTGTGTGTCTGTGTGTGTCTGTGTGTGTTTGTGTGTGTTTGTGTGTGTGTCTGTGTGTGTATGTGTGTGTTTGTGTGTGTGTCTGTGTGTGTGTTTGTGTGTGTGTGTGTGTCTGTGTGCGTCTGTGTGTGTCTGTGTGTGTTTGTGTGTGTCTGTGTGTGTGTCTGTGTGTGCCTGTGTGTGTCTGTGTGAAATCCGCTCACATCATCATTATACTCATTTCTACTGTTTCCGTCTCGGCTCAGGTATTGGAAACATGTACAGCGCCGCCTGCCCGCGGCGCATGGGAAAAAAGAGATCGCTACCCTCTCCTTTACCTTCCTCTACGTACGGGAAGCCTTGTAGGTTCGATTCGTCGGTCGTCAACCTACATACACGGTCAGGGCTGCATGGTCGGTGAGTTGCCCGCGGTTCTCTTTCGCCCTGGGTAGCCGATGGTTCCTCAGCCCGGGGGGGGGGGGGGCCAGAATCGCCCATGGGACTTCAGGCCAACAGCGCGCGCTTCCGCAGTGAGCCTCGTGCGCGGCGGTCCCGTTGCTACCGTGATGCTGCGCAGGGCTGGCCCCCCTGTCTCCTGCGCAGCAGGTGCTGCATAGGTTATGAGGATCGGGCCGTGATATCACCAAAATTTGTCGCACAGGTGCTGTGTCGTGCGGGTTTCGACGTGCCCTTGTTGCACCGAGGGTGCCACAGGCGGTCTGGTGGCGCAGGGCTGCTGCGCAGTACCGCAGTGCACTGAAGGTAATCAGCTGCGGGCGATGTGGTGGCCCAGAGGTGCCGTGCTGCGGTGCCGTGCCCCTCCGCGATGTAGGGCCACTGACATCTCCAGATCTTGGTCCGGCGGCGCGGGTGCCGTGTCTTGCCTTGGTGCCGTGGCGTGCCACGTTGTGGTGCCGCGCCGTGATTTTCGCAGGCGTCGTCGAGGGAGCCAGAGCGCGATCTGGCTGTGGGATCGTGTTGTGCGCTGCAGTGCCGTGCCATGCCGCGTTCCCACGTTTGACCGAGGTGTTGTGCCCCGCGCTCTGGTGCACGGTCCTGTGAGGCTCCCATGCGCAACGAAGACGTGATCTGTTCACCGTGCCGGCATGCAGCCATAGCAGGCGCAGGTCACGGCGCGGCGGGTGGCACCGTGTGCGCGGCGCGGCAGGTGCGAGTCGAGGGCGGGTCGTCGGCGCGGGTCGTCGGCGAACCACAGGCGGATCGCCAGCGGGTTGCGGGGCGGGTCGGTGGCGGGCGTGGGTTGCGTCGGACGCGGGTCGCGGTCGGTTGCTCTGCGATTCGTGGGCGTGTCACGCGGCAGGTGCCGCGGCGGGTCGCGGGGCGAGTCGCACAGATGGTCGCGGTGCAGGTCGCAGGACGGACCGTAGGGCGTCATCGAAGCAGACCAAGAATTGCATGGGCAGTGCAAAACCGCCCAGGCCCCCCCAATCGGATGGGATGAAATTTGCTTTGGTTTGGATTGTTAAAGCACTATAGCAGTGGGTCCGCGCCATGCTTGCCATACCACGTGTGCTAGATTACGTTTTATTTTACCCACTATCATGCAGCATTGCATGGAGATTTGGAGTTGCTGAGTTGGCGAAGTGTGTAACCCCGCTGGGGGCAGCTGAGTCCAGTTCTTTTCAAACAGTTCAGTCATGGACACGTTTGTTTGCCTGGTGTTGGTGTCCGCTGAGCTCGGTTTGACCATACGTATGTTGTGTCGCATGTGTTACGTAGCCGAGCTCATGATGCATTCTGAATCAGATCGTGTTAGCCGGTTCTAGTCTAATATGGTTTAGCCTTGTTGAGTCAAGTTCGGTCTGGCTTAGTGCAGGCTAGTGGAGGACATTCTCAAGTTGTTTAAGTTGTGCGGAACTGGATTCAACCATATTGAATAGAACGCGAGAGTACGGCTTGTGTCGCCGAAGTTCGCCGTCATCCGTTGTGAAAGGGTGTCTTGTTCGTAGGTGTCCATTGCAGTGGCCGTCGGTTCACACACTGTCGATTATCTTTGTGTGACGTGGTTGTTGTTTTCATTTGCGACCGTTCAGCGAGTTGTTTATCGGACTCCGTCAAACTCTAGTTACAACACAATTCGGTGCACACCTTTGCCCATCTGTTGTTATTACATATTCTCAGACCAATGAGCCTCATGCTGCTGCGCGGTCCTGTCAATCCCGGCATTTACACGTGAGCAGTTGTGTGCATATCATGTGGTTTGCGCAGGCGACAGCGGTATCACTGAGCCATGGGGATTGCGATCCGATGGTTCGGAGGACGTCTCCCCTTTTTTGTTGTGGCTTCCTGAATCGGCTACCGCATGCCGCTTCACATAACGTGCCTGAGCCTCCCGTTCATGCGAGTGTGTCATGTCATTTCAGTTCGGGACTCCAGCAGATGGGCTCGGCTTGAATCAATCAATTTTTCACCCGCATCGTTTATGTTTCGTCGGCCGTCGATACGGTTTTGGTGGGTTTGTGGGCAGCCAGTGGGTGTGAAGACACATGCTGCCGCTTCGTGGATGTGGCATGGGGGAAGAAAAGTCTGGAGGTGGGCGAGGAGGATGGCAGGGAGGGAGGCGGGGCACGGACGACGAGGGAGAAGAAAAGGGGCAGGACGTGCTCACAGGAGGGTGGGGAGGACCAGGACGCAGGTCGAGGAGGAGGAGGCGGACGAGGAGGCGCAAGACGCGGCGGCTGGCACCGAGGCACGGAGGGCTGCGGACGATCCGTGGGGACGGCCGACGACGAAGCCGGAGCCTCGACTTCAGTCGGGCGTGTCCCTCTACCAGGGGGCGTATTCGAAAATAGTCGAAAAGTAGCTTGGGGACGATACTTTGAGTATGTGTTGCACTTTTTTCACTTCTCGTCCCAATTCCGCCTGTAGGGGGACGATACTTTGAGCATTTGCTGGCCATTTGGGGGCATTTTTTGACTACTTTTTTCGGTTCTCGTTCCAATTCCGCCCATAGGGGGACACGCCCGACCTAAGCCTCGACCGACGGCTCCGCAGGCGGGCGCCCGCCCCCGCGCCCGGCGGCCCCCGGGGCGGCCGTGCAGGCCGCCAAGGGGCGGCGTGAAGGCTTCCCAGACAAGCAGTGGCGAAGCGTCTAGGCTCGCCTATAGACCCACCAAACAATCTTCTAAGAACCTTTTGTGGTTCCCACGACATGTTCTTAGAACATTTCTGGTTGGGACTGTCTTGTTTTAACACTGGGTTTATGTTCTAAGAACCTTGTTTTTGTTTTTAGAACATTTTCAGGTTCTAAGAACATTTCGTGGCATGACTATAGGAATGCCGGGACGGTCGGTCCCTGCTCAATCCCAGAGCCCGTGGCCTCGCAGCGGAGCCTCTCTCGAGAGAGTCGGGTTGACCCAAAAGGGGGTCCCAGCGACAAGAGGGTGGTGCAATAGATTTGGTGCAATAGATTTGTGGGGTTGCAGTACATTTGGGGCGTGCAATACATTCCAGGGCGCAAATGCAATGCTGGATTTTCGCGTGCAATACATGAGTTGCAGTACAAGGCAATACAATTCTCCGGCGCAGTACATCTGCAATATTACCCCAGTGCGACCCTACCTAGGAGTTGGAGCCCCTAGGAAAGCAGCATTAGTAGTAACTGTAAACGCCGTCCTCCTCCTTCTCCTCATCGTCGTAGTTGCCTTTGCTTTTGCTTGTTTTTGTTTTTGCTTGGTTTTGTTTTTGCTTTGCCTTCGCACACACACGCATGTTTTTGCATTCGCTCACCGGGAGGGCTCTCTGATCGTACTGTTGCACATTGTTTTTGTTTTGCCTTTCATTTGTTTTGCCTTTGATGTTGATTTGCTTTGCGTTGCTAGTGCTTTGCTTTGCTGTTGCTGTTGCTGTAGCTTAGTTAAGCGTTGTTAAGTTACAGCTACAGCTACAGCTACAGCTACAGCTAAGCGGCGCTAAGATGAAGCTAAGCTAAGCTAAGCTAAGTTGAGATACGCAAAGTTAGGGTAAGGGGGCGCAACTGGGGGAACCGCGGGGCGGGGACCGGGGGAACCACCCGGGGCGAAGCCCACTGCCCGGCCCCTTTTTAAGCTAATAGAGTAAGAACCCTCTAGGCAGAGCCTAGGCAGGGAACAGTTGCCCCACATCTGTTGCACCACCCCCTTGCGGCTGGACCCTCTTTCGGGTCACCCTAAGAGCGGGCGCTGCCGCGCCCGCCCCGGGCGGGCCCGCGGGGCCAGGGCTTCGGACGCCACTCCTCGGGGGGGATAGGCATAAATTCGGAAGACGACCCTGGGAGCCCCTTATCTCGGGGGTGGACAGACCTCCTACCCTGACACGTCGATGAAGGAATTGGCCGTTTTCGGTTCGCGAGAGGGCGTCGCGGCCGTCGTTTTTGCGGGTCCGGGTCCGGCGGATTCGGTCCCATGCCGTTTTCATTAAGGGGAGGTTTACTAAAGGGAGGTTAATCCACCGCCGATTATTGTCAGTTGGCCTGGCTTTCCAGCGCCTCCAGTGGTCCACAGTCGTTTGCTCGCGCCACTGGAGGCCACTGTGGGGGCTACGGGAAGCCACTGCAGGCCATGGGAGGCCGCGGGGGGGCCACTGGAGGAGACACTGGAGGCGGCTCTAGGCTTGCGGGGGGCAGCTGGGGCCACTCAGGTGATTACGAAAGGCTCCCAGGAGAGTCTTCTGAAGGCATAGGGGGGGATGTATCGACCCCCAATCGCCGATTGATCGCCGATACGGGCCCGATAGCCCCAACCTGCACAGGAAGGTCGAGATTCGCTATAGTTATCGGGGGCCTATCGCCGATTTATCGGAGATATACCGCCGATTTCAGGTCGATGCATCCCCCACTTATGCCAGTCCCCCCCTACCGTTGCCCTTCAACTCCTGGGAGGTCAAATTCTGATGTTGCCCTGGTCCGAAATCTAGGCTCATCCGGCTTCATTCCGCTTGATCCAGCTTGAGCCTGCTTTATCCGGCTTTTAATCCCGTTCAACCCGCGGCTTGATTCTGCGTAGCAGCCCCCCGAATGGGGTCCAATCTTCCTTCAATTCTTCCGACGAAGACCTCCCAGTGGTTGCCTCCTAGCACGACGCCTGGGGCTCGGCGGCGAGCGAGGGAAGGAAGCGAGGAGGAGAAGGCCCTTCTCAGGAGGCGGCGGGACGCTTCAGAAGCCCCCTGGCCTCCCGAGAGAAGTGTCTCCGTGCTGCCTTGGGGGGAGGCCTCTGGAAATCACCACCCACCAAACCACCCCAACCCAACCCGAAGCCCTCGATTTGCCCTCCATTTCCGGTGGGGGGGGGGTCGGGGAACGTTAGAAAAAACATGGAATCCGTACCCCCCCAACCCGAAATTCGGGTCAAATTCAAGTCTTCGGGTTGGGTTGGGGTGGTCTGGTAGGTAGTCGAAAGCTTCTCCGAAGGCAGAAGGGGACTTCCGAGGCTTCCGAGAAGGCCTGCCCCCCTGCTCGCTTCCCCCCCCCCCGCAGGCTCGCCGCCGATGGGGCGGCACGTCGGCGCAGGGCCACGAGTGGAGGAGGAGGAGGAGGAGGAGGAGGAGGAGGAGGAGGAGGGGAGGAGGAGGGAGGAGGAGGAGGAGGGGTGAGGAGGGGGAGGAGGAGGAGGAGGGGAGGAGGAGGAGGGGGAGGAGGAGGGGAGTGAGGAGGAGGAGGAGGGAGGAGGAGGAGGAGGAGGAAGGAGGAGGAGGAGGTGGAGGAGGAGGAGGAGGAGGGGAGGGGAGGAGGAGGAGGAGGAGGAGGAGGAGGAGGAGGGGGGGAGGAGGGGAGGAGGAGGAGGCAGGAGGAGGAGGAGTGAGGAGGAGGAGGAGGAGGAAGAGGAGGAGGAGGAGGAGGAGGAGGAGGAGAGAGGAGGAGGAGGAGGAGGAGGAGGAGGATGAGGGGGAGGAGGAGAGGAGCGGGGGTGGGAGGGGCGAGGAGGAGGAGGGTGAGGGGAGGAGGAGGAGGAGGAGGAGGAGGAGGAGGAGGAGATAGGACATGTCGGGGGAACGTAAGATTCGAGTTCGCCGGAGCTGGGATTTGCCGACGCTTTTGAATGGGCCCATTCCGCCGTTCCGAAGGTTAACGGTCCAGTTCTCGCGGGAAGTTTGCAGCAGGAGCTCGCGTCAAATTTCAAATGGGGTCTCGTCATGTTCGTGCCGCCCCGTCAGGCCACCCCGAGTTCCCCAAATCCGAGACTTACGTCTTCCAAGGAAATGCGCGGGTGTAAGAGATCATGACCGATTATTATAATCAGTTGCGCGGAACGCTCGGGACGAGACGCGGGGCCCAAGCATTCATGCCAGCAGCCGTTGCAAGCGCTCCATTCTGTGTTGTCCAGGCGCTTGCGGCAAGTCCCACCACGCCCGTTGTGTGGTAGGGTTGTGAGCACCAGAT